TCCTGTGTCGCTGACACCTGCCCCACAAGCACAGGCCCTGCCCTGAGGAGCCCCTGTGGGCTGTCCCGTCTGGTTGTGGGGATTGGAGCCAGGATGGCAGGAAGACAAAGGTGCCTCTTTAGGGAAGTGGCTAAGGAACATGCTGTGTGGCCGTGAGCATGGCCCCATCCCTTTCTGGGCTCTGAGGCTGCACCTGGACAAGCGGGGTGACCATCCCCACTTGGGGGGCTGCTGGACTGGTCCTCTGGGGGACTCGCTCCTTCTGGCTGCCCTGGGGCCTGGCACCCAGCTGCCTGGAGAGGTGGGGAGCAGGGTTGAGGGCCCTTTGGATGATCCTTAGGCACAAACGTACTCAGCCGGAGCTCATCGGCCGTGTGTCCTCCAGGGGTCTGCTGTGGGCTGCCTCCTTCTCTCCTGCCCTGGACTCTCCCCCAACGGGGGGTGAACCCTAAAGAGCTCAGGCCTCCTCTGGCCATCCTCCCCTGACACCCGTTCTGGGCTGGGCCACCGAGGGGCTGGCAGGCATGGAGGAAGGGGCAGCTGTCAGGAACTGCTTCCAGAAGACAGGCCCAGCACCTGAGGTTGCAGCTCCGACTAGATTGACAAGTGGGGAGCAGCATGCCAGGCACTGGGAACAGCATGTGCAAGGTCACAGAAGCAGGAAGCTGCACTGTGTTTCCTTGGCAAAGGGGCGGCAGGCTTGGGGGCAGCAGGGCTGGGCCCCATCCTCTATTAACACTGACAGGGTTTGACCACTGGAGTTTCAATTGCGGGACCCAGTACTGCTTTCTTCAATCTCATTTCCTCATGTTTCCCACAGGCTGGGAGGAAGCTACTGATGGGGAGGGTGGAGCTGTGGGGGCTGTGGCTGTGGGGAGGTATTTGGGGACGGCCTTGGGCGAGAGCTAGGATCCTGGGTCTGGGTGAGGGGTTGCATGAGGCAGGAGGAGGGCACCTTGGCCAGTGCTCCAGGCCCCTCATCCTCACCATTGCACCCCATATTCAGGTTTCCTCACAGGCCCATGCACCAAGTTGGTCAGGAGTAAGGAAGTGGAGCCAGGTGGCCAGCATGGCCTTGGTTCTTGGGGTGAGCTGGGAATCCCCTCCAGACTGTCCTGTCTCCCTGTGGCCAGGGCAGCAGACAGTGGCCAGGAGCCAGGGATAGTCCCTGCTGATGTCTACAGAGGGTCTTTTCTAATGTGGCCCAAAGGGTGCCAGGGACTGAGGGAGGGCATTGGGTAGGGATGGCAGAATGAGGAAGTGGTTCTAGCCAGCTCCTGGGACCTCCAAGACTCCTTGGCTTTGGCCCCCAGGGCCCCACTTGGGCCCCCATCAAAAGCAGGATGTGTTGTGAGGAAAGGCAGGGTGCCCAGGCCCAGCCACCAGCTCCCTGCACTACTTGCCCTCTCTGGGATCTCAGATGCAAAGGGGGCGGGTTGGTCTCGTGCAGAGCAGATTCCATTCAACTCTTGCGTGCAGCATTCCCACACCTCTGCCAGGCTGCAGGCTGTTGACCCTTCTGGGGCCTTGCTGAGGTCCTGGGTTCACCAGACAGAATTCCTTGAGTTCGGTGAGGCACCCAGGGGTGCTGGTTGCCCTGTCTCTGTCTGTCCTCCAGATGGGGCCTGTTAGTGTTTGAATGTTTGTCCCTTCCAAAACTCGTGTTGATATTTAATCCCCATTGTAACAGTATAGTCATGCACCTCGTAACTACATTTCTTCAACAATGGACTGCGTATATGATGTTGATTGCATAAGGTTACAGGTGTGTAGTAGGCTATAGAATCAAGGTCGTGTAAGTACACTCTGATATTCACACAATGATGGAATCACCTATCAATTCATTTCTCAGAACATATTCCCATGAATATGTTAAGAGGTGGGGCCTTTACGAGGTGATTGGGTCATGAGGGCTCCACTCTCATGAATGGATTAATCCACTCATGGATTAATGGGTTAATGTGTTATCATGTGAGTGGGACTGGTGGCTTTATAAGAAGAGGAAGAGAGACCTGAGCAATCATACCATGTGTATCCTGCACTGCCCTGGGACTCTGCAGAGAGTCCCCACCAGATGCAGCCCCTTGACCTTGGACTTTTCAGCCTCCAGAATAGTAAAAAATAAATTTTTGTTTCTTCATAAATTACTGTTTCAGGTATTCTGTTTTAAACAACAAAAAAGACTAAGGTAACACCCAAGTACAGGACAGCCAAGCCTGGTACTAAGCAGGGCCCAGCCCCTAAGGAGCCTGACATAGCCAGGAGCAAGTCAGGGGTGGGTCAGTGCACCCTTAACACCCCCTACCTCGCCCCACCCCACTCAGCAGACCCTGAACAGGAGAGGGGGTTCACATTGCAATCCCTGACTTCCTGGCTGGGTGACCTCATCACATGTCAGGTGGGTCTCAGCTGCTCCGTGGCCCATTTGCTTCCTGGCACAGAAACTTGGCTTAGTGGGGCC